TTCGTTCTTAATTTACATTTTCCTCTTTAGGCTTCATTCTTATCCTTTTAACTCATTTACAATGCTTAATGCATGCCTAAGAGTACTTAGAAGTGAAAGGGAACGGAAAACAAAACATAGAACGTATCTACAAAATTTCAGAAACAGGGGTCCCCGCTCGAGCGTGGACTTCCCCGCTCGAGCGGACCCATTAGGTCTGCAAAAGTACCGGTTGCCTTGTTTCTACGCTCGAGTGCGAATTCGGACGCTCGAGCTAAAGGTCATTCTACGTAGCTCCCCGCTCGAGCGTGAACTTCCCCGCTTGAGCGGACATCCATGTCTGCAAAAAGTTATGGGAGCTTGTATTTCCCGTTTGAGCGGCCCCTTCCCCACTCGAGCGGACATCCCAAATTCTGGAAAATCCAGAATTGTTCTTGAGCTTCAAACTTGCATTCAAATCAACATATCTTGCATATTATGGCTCAAAATTCACATACACATGTACTAACATGATCCAACACCAAATTCATTACATTATGAAGCTCAATTTCATGAATCAATCACATGCATGTCCCAATTTACACCAAACTTATTTCCAACATAACAATTTCATGCATTCAAAACCCGTACTCTTATGAATTGTACATGCATGTGGAACACAACTTCTATTCTCAACTTAGATGATGAAGAGATGGTCAAAAATATGAGCTTCAACTAAAATCTCACATGGATTATACATTTTGTGCTCAAATATGCAAATTCAAAGCAATTTCTCACATGTATGTGCATATTGACTTCCTATTCAACAAAACCAACTCAATTTCATCATAATCAATTCAATTCATGTTCTTGATCATCATTCAACTTTGAATTCACAAAGTTACAAACTAGAATCCATGAATTTACTCACCTAGAAACTCAATCTTTCCAATTTATGGTAAATTCTTGAGTGTGCCTTCAAGATCACCAAGTTCCCTAGCCAAATCTCTACCTTGAGCCTCCCCTCTCACTAAATTCGGCTCCTCCCTCTTTCTGGAGCATAATTTCAAATGTTGAGCTCAAAAGAAACAAAAATGAGAGCGTATAATGGCCCTTTAAAAGCTCCCTTTCAAATACATTTCTTTAATATTAAATAATTGGGCATCATTTCATTAATTTAATCTATTTAATTTTATCCGAATCAATTTTCAATTAAATTTCACCGTAGGCTCTAAAAATTACGCCAATCACAATGGCGTAGTCAATTTCGGTTTCTGTGGCCGATAGGGCCTTCAATTTAAATCCCAAAGCAGATAATCAAACAGATATTCCTACGGTGAACAGATAGAAATTCAAAATCACATATTTTCACATAAATGGCACACAAAATCATATCAAACACATAATCACATTCATAATAAGGACTAATTAGCATAATACGGAACATGGTTATCACAGTTATTATGCCAAGAAGAAAATTGTGTGGGAAGTTTTAGAGAGGGCTTTGAAAAGTAAGATCAAAATACAATGGTCTGATATTCAAGCGATTAGAGCCATTATTCGCGATGATGAGCCAGGAATTTTGGAAATTGAGGTTAGTGAATTTTAGTCCCACTCTTCTAAATGATGACATTTAAGTTTAATTCTTAGTGAAATTTTTATTCAATCTTTTGGGTGAATTATGTGCAGTTAAACCAACAACCTCAGTTCTTCAGAGAGACAAATCCGCAGCCACGGAAGCATACACTTTGGCAACAAGCAATGGACTTTACTGGAGGTCAAGCCCCCATTTACAGGTTTGAAATAATCTTTCCTTTTTCACTCCTTCCTATTAGTCTAGCAAAATAATAAATAACAAATTTAGCTTGAATAAAATATATTGTATAAACAAAATCTTAATTGGAATTAAGAATAATAGCATGTGAGATTCTGCATTTCCTCAAAGGTGTCAACGGAGTAAATAGTTCCAAGATAAAACTCAATTTGCTCACAGTATCCCTCATTTAGTGTTAATTATTGTCTTTATGTCTTTTAATTGAACGAACTAGAGTTTCTAATCATTCCACTATTTCGAATAATTTCATTTATATTTCTTTTGCTTTTCTGTTTTATTGAATTTTTTTACTTGTCTTCTTGTTTGGGAGAAAAGAAACTGTTTGTGAGATTGCTAACGAACAGGCCTAAGTGGTTTCAGTCAATTTTCAAGTCAGCCGATGCAAAATATTAGTTCATTTCTAAAAACAGTTTTTTTGCCATAGCAAACTGTTGTCGGTATCTTCAAACACATCTAAAAATGGTAGTGCTTTACATTTTGATTACTTCCATTAGATATAGACAATCTTGTAGATTTACCTTTTCAAATTTAAGCACTACCATTTTAATGAGTTGTCACTCACAAAACATTCATTTATCATACATTAGTTGTCACATTTAACTTGTACATACAAGTGTATGCACATACATATGGCATAATTAACACAATGATATGTTTTTTTTTTTTTTTTTGGTAGGAGACATTACATCAAATTTCCTCCAAGAACGCTTGACAAACACTATGAGAAACTTTTGCAATGCGACAAACGATTGTTAGAACTCAGCCAAAAACCTTTCCCAAGGATGGAATCTCCTTTTTTCTACTCAAACATCTATGAGGTTACCGACATCCCTTTTGATTTCACTGTGCGTCGATCACAATTCCCTTCCACGTTGCAACATTGTTTTTCAACTATTCTTACATCTTTAGTTCCTGCCCATCCGATTCAAAATTTCAAGCTAACAACCAGACAACCCTTTGGTATTGTGGACTCAAATTCACCAATGTCAGGTATACGATTTAGTCTTTTGAATTGAACCTTAAAAAACTATTTGTGTTGATTTCTTTTCATCAAGTGTGTTTTTGTGATAACCAGTTATGGATTTTCCACGCACATATGAGAACGTTAATGGGTACACGTTTGATAATTGAAGGATGGTACATTAGGGTCAACAAGGAAACAATGTCGAAAATGTTTTAGCAAGGGAAGATCAAATACAAGCCAATGCCAATGCTGCCTTTTCTTGTCAAGGATATCCAAACACTGGGTTACTTGGTGACATTGAAAACCATTTTCTAGGTGACTCACAAAATGTATGCTCCAATGAGAGAACGCTCATTGCCAGAGTGAGTTCAATGTGTTCATTGCTCAATCCATTTGAGGTGGCAAATCCCCAAAACGACAATTCCATGAATCAATTAGAGTATAAACAAGGAAAATTTAGCAATGATCACTTAATTTTGGGAACAACCGAGCATTCTAGAGTAAATGGCGGGCTATGCTACCCACAACCCATTTGTTGCTTGGCTCCACGAGTTTCTAACGAGAGCCATATGATGCATGTTCCGAGGGACAATTCATCGTATCCGTATGATTTCTATCATCCTGAGGTGAATGATTATGGATTAGTTGACACTGGCCACGAGGTCCACCAATAGGCGTGATGTGGCAATAAAAATGAGGAAAGTCGTGGACGTAGCAAGGGGATATGCGAGCTAATGTTATTACACCATCACTTGTTTGTTTCATGACTACACATTTGTATATAGGCAATGAAAATAATCCCCCAATTTTATCTAGTGAATAGGGTTTTAGTTTTTTATTTTATTTTTTATATTAAGTTTCCATTCATGGTTATGTTAGAAGAAGATTTCAGAGTTTGTTGATCATTTTCTATAGGGGAAGAGGGATATTTTGATTATCTCCCTATTATCAAGTTTTTAAGAATGTTTCAAACTCCCATATTTGCTTAAACACAAGCAAAAAACCACCCACCCTTCCTTTGTCTCTATTTTGTGATTGTTTTTGTGAAATTGTTTTGCTGTGAGCCCCACTCACCCTTTGTCTCTCATTTGTGATTGTTTCTATGAAATTCTTTCTGTCCAGGTATACTTTGTGTTATTGAGATTTCAATTTCGTATAGTTTCTTATTTCTTCAAATTAAATATGTAACGAAAAAAATGTCTAAACATTATTAACCTTGGTTGTCCGAAAAACATATGGTCAAAACCTTCAAGATTTGACAAACAAAAATGATTTCTACAATTGACTTTTTTTTTTCACCAGCACACAATGGCTACAATTGATTTTCTCAGTGCACATTTTATGATAGAGCTTAGATTTGTGTGTGTAATTGTGATGTTCAAAACATTGTACTGTATGTGCACTTCATTTCAACAATGAGCCCTCCCATATTCAATCGAATCAATGTTTGTGACTTGATGATTATCCTTCTTCAAACAAATTGTATTTAGATGCTCTGTTTTTGACTTTGAGAAATTTGAACTGTAACCAAGTGTACATATTCAGCGTTCTCAAAAAAACTTGCCATCTTGAGTGCCCTCAACAACTTTGGCCACTGTTTTGAATGCCTAGCGGCAAAAAAGAAACCAAGTTATTTGAACTTGAATTGTGTTGGACTAGTTAAAAACTTGTTCAAGATCAAGTTGTTGTGTATATACATCAAGCTTAAGAGCTCAACTTGTTATGCAAAGCAATCAAGCTTAAACACACTTTAACTGGAGTTTGACTAGTGCTTTGCTTGCTAGAAACTCATTCTAACAAAAGTGATTGCCCAAGTCTCATTTGAAGCAAAACAATTGCATCCAGAAGAGAGGTTAATAGTGGATGTATTGACTCATAAACAACAATTCTACATAAGGCTACCAATGCAGAAAGCTTATATGTAAAATTAGGGTTGAAGACTTCTTGTTACTGATAACTGATAAGAAAACCTTGTCTTACAATTAATCAATCTGTGTGCAAATATATAAAACCCTAAGCTAATAAAATGAAACCCTAACAACCTAAAGGACTAAACTACCCTTAATAAGTAATAAAAACTACAATTCACGCCCCCCCTCAAACTAAGGATGCGAGTGCAGAAAGCATTGAAAGTTTGCCAAGAAGAAAACGAAAACGAGCAATAGTGTGAGTCTTCGTAAAAAAATCAACCAACTGAAGAGAGAACATAACAAAAGGGAGAGTAATGGTGCCAGCTTGAAGATGCTATTTGACAAAGTGACAATCTATTTCAACATGCTTGGTCCGCTTATAGAAGAGTGAATTATAGGCAATTTGGATAGCACTCTGATTATCATAATACAATGGAGTTGGATCAGAAAAAGAGACATCCATATCAGAAAGAAGCCACCGAACCCAAACTATCTTGAAAGTAGCATGAGCCATGGCACGATACTCAGCCTCAGCTGTGGAATGAGCAACAACAGATTGTTTCTTACTCTTCCAGGATATGAGAGAATCGCCGAGGAAAGCACAAAGAACAGAAGTGGATTTGCGATCAGAGATGTCACCTGCCCAATCAGCGTTAGCATAGGCACGAAGAGTCAAGTCCGAAGAGGCAGATAACAACAAACAGTGCAACAAAGTGCCACAAAGGTAGCGCAAAGTACAAAGTAAGGTAGCCCAGTGTGTGGAACAAGGAGCATAAACAAACTGACTGAGAATGTGCACAACATAGGAGATATTTGGGCAAGTAACGGTGAGATAAACAAGGCACCCAACCAACTCACGATACAAAGTGGGATCCTCAAGAGGAACGCCATCAAAAGCAGAAAACTTAGCATGCAACTCAAGAGAAGTGTCGACAATTTTGTCATCAGTGAGATTAGCATGAGAAAGAATATCACAGGCATATTTAGTTTGAGAAAGAAAATACCCAGTAGGAGAAGTAACAACCTCAATACCAAGAAAATACCGAAAAGACCCCAAATCCTTCATCTCGAACTCCTGAAACAACTGATGCTTACCTCCTCAATAATACTAGAATCAGAGCCAGTGATGATCATATCATCCACATATAAGAGAAGGAGAACAAGGCCAACAGAAGTGCGCCGAACAAAGAGAGCACAATCATGATGACTAGGGCGAAAACCAAGCTGAAGTGCAACAAAGTGAAATTGCTCATACCAAGCACGAGGAGACTACTTGAGACCATATAGAGCACGACAAAGATGAAAAAAAACACCATGAGAGTGAAAGAGACCCGGTGAAGGGCGCATATACACTTCTTCAGCAAGATGCCCATTCAGAAAAGGATTTTTGACATCTAGTTAAAACAAAGGCCAGTGATGGGCAAAGGCAACATAAATAAGAGTGCGAACAGTAGTCATCTTGGCAACGGGGGCAAAAGTCACATCGTAATCAATCCCATACTCCTGAGAAAAGCCCTGGGCAACTAAACGAGCTTTGTACCGTTCCAAAGACCCATCATAAAGGGTTTTGACCTTATAGACCCATTTACAGCCTACAACATTCTTGTCAGCAGGTAATGGAACCAAATCCCAAGTCTAAGTGTTAGCCAAAGCAGTTAACCCGTCATTCATAACAATAATCCAATTGGGATCATGACAAGCTTCCTTGTGGGACCTAGGCTCAAAATATGTATGAAGACAAGAAAGAAAAGACTGATAGGAAAGGGAAAAACATGTATTACCAAAACCATACCAGTTCGGAGGATGACGGTTTCGCTTTGGAAAGCGATGTGCAAGAGGAGCGGGATCCAAAGAAACAGCTAGAGGGATAGTAAAGCTAGAGACGTGCGAGCTCGGAAGTGCTTTGCGACGCTGATAAACAAGAAGAGGAGTAGGAGAAGCAGGAGCTGGAGAGGAAGTAGCTGGCGAGATATCAGAAGTGCTAGTAAGAGGCAAAGCAGAGACCTCAAGATCAAAAACAAACTCATCGGAAGAAACATTAGGAGGAAATGGGTCAACGTAAACCAATTCATCCTTGGTAATAGGGACAGGGGTGGAAGGTATAGTGTGGTGGGGTAGTTTTTCTGAAAAGGTGATATGCCTAGACACATAGCTTTTTGGTGGCGAGATCAGAGCACCGATAACCTTTCTAATTAATGTCATACCCTAAGAAGACACATAGGACACAACGAGAACTAAGCTTAGAGCGCGCCTGTTTAGGAAGGAGCACAAAGCATGCAGAACTGAAAATACGAAGAAGAGAATAATTTGGAGTAACACCAAAAAGACGCTCATAAGGAGACGAGCCTGAGAGAAGAGGAGTAGGCATCCGATTGAGAAGACATGCAGCAGTAAGCACAGCTTCTCCCCAGAAAACAGAAGGGACAAAAGACAAGAGCAACAAAGAGTGAGCTGTATCAAGGAGATGGTGATGTTTGCGCTCAGCTTGACCATTTTGTGCTGGAGTGTCAGAACACGAAGACTGATGAATAGTTCCATGAGTAGCTAAATAGTCCTCAAACTCAGACAAGAAATACTCACCCCCTAAATCAGAACGAAGAACTTTAATGGTGGTGGAAAACTAAGTGTGAATCATGAAGTGAAAATTAGAATATATTTTGTAAAAATCAGATTTTCTAGTCATCAAATAAACCCAGGTAAATCGACTGTAGTCATCCACAAAAGACACATAATATTGCGAACCACCCTTGGTAACTATAGGAGAAGGACCCCAAACATCAGTATGAATCAATTGAAAATGAGAAGATGAAATAGAACTACTTTTATTAAAAGGAAAAGCAGACATTTTAGCCAATTTACAACCACGACACTCAGAAATATCATTAATGGGAAAATTGCCTGAATGTCCAAACCAAACTAACATCGCTGAGGCTTTAAGTGCTCTGTCTGGCAGAGGCTTTTAGTGCTCAGTCTGGCTGAGGCTTTAAGTGCTCTGTCTGGCAGAGGCTTTTAGTGCTCAGGTTAGCTGGGGCTTTTAATGCTGCAAATAAAAATGTTACCAAGACAACATATAGATAACTGAGATATGCCCACACTAAGCTGCAAGCGGTTAAGGCGGAGCTGGAGGACACATGCCGCCAGGTTCTGAAGAATCGGGGTATGAAAAATTGAGATTTCTCTAAAATTTTCAGATTATAGGCCTGATTCAAGGATTATAGGCATGATTCAATGTTTTTCAAAGTAAACATCGATTGATTCAAGGATTATAGGCCTGATTCATAGCTCAAAGTTCCATCGATTTTTCAGAGTAAACATCAAATTTCATTTGATAGAACCAGAGTAAAATTTTACTCTGGTTCTATTGCTCTGTTTTTTTCATTTGACAGAACCAGAGTAAAATTTTGCTTTTATACAGAGTAAAATTTTACTTTTAGCTTCAGAGTCTCACAGTTTACTTGTTTTTCAGAGTAAAATTTTACTTTTATACAACGTAAAATTTTACTTTTAGTTTCTGAGTGTAAAATTTTACTCTTATTCAGAGTAAAATTTTACTTTTAGACAGAGTAAAATTTTACTTTTAGTTTCAGAGTGTAAAATTTTACTCTTATTCAGACTTTCATACAAAGTAAAATTTTACTCTGAAATACATAGTGAAGATGGCTTAATAGGAGAGCTGATAGATATGAGGGTAATATAGTAAAAAAAATAAGTTTTAAAATATCAGGGGGTTTTGAAAGTACTTATATAATTCTTGTCCTTTTAAAAGACAAATTAGATAGTGAGGGGGCTATCACCAAATCCCCCAAAAAAATTTGGCATTGTTCGCACTTCTTTACGTAGTTCTAGACATCTGTACGCATGGTTAGCCAATAATACCCCTATGTTACGGCTCGGTGGGCCAATGAACGTCCTCCAGAATGGGCGCTACAGCTACCTTCATGTATTTCGGCCAAGAGTTCCTCAACTTTATCTGGGTGAACACATTCCAAGTACGGCCTAGAGAGAGATTTTTTGTAAAGCTTTCCTTGCGGATCTAGATAGTATCGCAGGGCTTTATTTTGCAGCTTGTGAGATTATTTCTTATCCGTTGAGAGCTGTTCTGAAGAAAGGAATGCAGCAATAGGGTCCATCCAACTTGGTCCTTGTTCAATGATGTTAATCTGAACTGGTTCAGAAGAGGTGATGCTCAGCTCTGGGATGAACCCTACTTTGATTGTTCGCTTGACTTCTGAGTTAATGGTAGAGGCTAAGCGAGCAAGGGCATCTGCATGCTTGTTCTGATCCCGGGTTATCTGATTCAATTCATGGTAATTGAATTTCGTGAGCAAGGAATTCGCCGTCTTCATGTAGGCTGTCATGCAGTTATTTTTAGCTGTATACTCCCCTTTTAACTGGTTGATGACTAGTTTCGAGTCACAAAAAATAAGTAACCACCGTGCACCAAGGTGAAGTGCGTTACGAAGGCTGGTTAGCAATGCTTCTTATTCAGCCTCGTTATTTGATGCATTAAAGCCCAATTTGACCGCCTGCTCGATTATTACCCCTTCAGGGGTCATGATTACTGTGCCTGCCCCGCTCCTACATTGGTTGGATGATCCGTCACAGTACATTTGCCAAATGTCTCCACCATATATTCGCCAGTCGGGTTTAGGTTGAACTTGATCGGACTTGAAGTCGACATGGCATTCCGTGAACTCAGCTACAAAGTCGGCGAGTACTTGCCCCTTGATGGCATTTCTAAGCAAAAACTAGATATCATATTGGTCGAGTTCCAAAGCCTATTTCAAGACTCGCCCTGATGCTTCCGCGCTGCGGAGCGCTGTCTAAAGGGGAGAGTCCGTTAATACCCCTATAGTGTAAGCCTGAAAACAGTGTATTAATTTTCTTGCATCCACCACAAGAGCAAGGATGAGCTTTTCCAGTGGTAGATATAGCGTTTCGGCGTCGATCATTGTCTTGCTTACATAGTAAATTGGTTGCTGCTCCCCGAGTTCTTCTTTTAGTAGTACGGTGCTAACTGCCTGGTCGGATACTACCAGATACAAGATGAGCGGATCGCCTGCCGATGGAGTTTCCAAGAGTGGTACTAATCGGAGATAAGTTTTCAAGCCGTCCAGCGCGACATGGCACTCGGAAGTCCATTCAAATGCTTTGCCCTGCTGAAATGTGTGAAAGAATTGTCGGCAGCGATCTGAGGAACGACTGATAAACCTATTGAGGGCGGCGGCCATCCCTATCAACTTCTGAACTTCTTTGACCAACCGAGGGGAGTCGAGTTCTAGAATTACTGTGATCTGCCTCGGGTTGGCCTCTATTCTGCGATGGTTGACAATATAGCCGAGGAATTTGCCAGATCCGATGCCGAATACGCTTTCGAGGCATTCAGTTTCATCTTGTATTTTCGGAGAATGCCGAAGGTCTCTGCTAAATTGGCTAGATGGGCGTGCTTTTCCTTGGACTTCACCACCATGTCATCGATGTATAGTTCCATGGTGTGGTCGAGTTGTTCCTTGAACATAGTAGTAACCAGTCTCTGATAAGTTTCCCTCGTCTTCAGTCCGAAGGGCATGACCTTATAGCAATAGGTTCCCCTTAGGGTAAGGAATGCGGTCTTTTCTTGATCCTCTGGATGCATGGCAATTTGGTGATAACCATTGTAGGCATCCAAGAAACTCATGCGCTAATGATGTGCCATTGCGTCCACAAGTTGGTTGATTTTGGGAAGAGGAAAAAAAATCCTTTAGACAGGCCCTGTTTAAGTCTATGAAATCGACACAAACACGCCAAGATCTTTACAACCACGATATTGGATAGCCATGTGGGATAAGTGACTTCACAAATTGCCCTGGCATCAAGCAATCTGTCAACTTCATCAACAACGGCCGTTGTATGCTCTGCGGCTGACCGCCGACTTTTCTGAATGATTGGTTTGACTTTTGGCTCGACATTTAAATGATGCTGGGCCACGACTGGATCCACCCCTGGCATCTTATATGATGTCCACGCAAACACATCAAGGTTGCAGAGTAAGAAGGACATCAGCTCGCCTCTATCAACTTTGTTCAA